TATAAAAGGCTATACCACAACCTGATAATTAAGTGGCGGCCACCAGATAACTAAGTAGCGCCCACCAGATAATTAAGCAGCAGTCACCAGATAATTATTTGGCGGCCGCCAGATAATCATGTGGCAAGCAGCCAGATAATCATGTGGCAAGCAGCCAGATAATCATGTGGCAAGCAGCCAGATAATCATGTGGCAAGCAGCAATATAATCATGTGGCAAGCAGCAAGATAATCATGTGGCAAGCAGCAAGATAATCATGTGGCGGCCACCAGATAATTAAGTAGTGGCTTAACAGCTCCTAAATTTTACTTCACTGGTGGTACCAACAGACTTCCATAAATCTGTGAAAGCTAGGACAAAATACTCTAAAGGGTCAAATTCATTTTGAATATAAATTTAATCACTACAATAAGTAAAATTTTTGAAAAACAAATTATTTAAACAATTATGACACTATATCTGCAATATCAATAATCTTACTTACACTTCAATTAAAAAATTTTAGTTGTATTGATTTGATTTATTATAATATACAAACTTAGGAACAACATATAATACGAATACCAATGATCTCCTGGAAGGTGTTTAACAAAATTTATGTAATCCACAGATTAATTATCTTGATATCCAGAAACATTTTGCACATTCTACATTATCCAACCTGATTGCACAAAAAAAAAATTCAAATTTGCACTATTATTTTGCGATGGCCAAGTAAGAAGCATGATTGATACTACAATATATTTCTACTGCTACATCTTGCTCAATTCTTTATGATTCAATTCTTTCTATTGAATAAACAAATGGACTGATGAAATGAATTCAATAGCCAATAATCCACTTTCATCACAGAATTATCACGAGCACCACCTACAGTTTTGATGAACCATATTCATACAGACTACCTTTACAGCTACTGACACCAGATTAAGAATGACAATTCAGTCATCTCTACAAACTATAAAGTGATAATCGCATAGGTTAAATACGAGTTGGCTTTGAAATTTCTTGAAAAAAAAAGCTCCTGACTGATCACAAATTTACTGTGATTTACTAGTCATGTTTTTGTCAAACAGAAAAAATGTTTTTCATGAAGAAACTAAACATATAACTTAGTATGGTTATTTCAAAACTAAATGTAATTAAAAAAAAAAAAAAAACATTAGCCAGATGCGGCACTACCATATTAAATTTGTTTATAAATACAACAGTTTTTTTTTTATAGACATAATGACTATGTCTGTGCATTCTGTGCAATAAGATAACAAAATGCTATACACTTTGTGGGAGATCTTTACAATTACCCATATAAGTGTCATTTGTTGCAACCTGTTGATTCAAAGGCTATATACAACGCATTGCAATTGCTGCAACACCATGTATAGGTAGCCACTTTGGTTACCTTTTCATGGTGTCAATAGCTTTACTGAAGGCCAGAGGACTGGCCGAAAATAAAAAGTGTTCAATAGCCTACATGTCTTGTCATAATTGTTTGTTTCAATTACTATGTATATTTATATATACAGACATGCCAACCCTACAAGGCCAGGAGAAGTTTGAAAACCTTTTGACAGGAGTTTTGGCAATGTCAGCGGAGTATGTTCTTGCCAGGTTAGCGCCAGTGTATCTCCAGAATTTTATTAGGCTCCATGAATGCAAAAGCAGTGGACTTAGAAAAGCCACTTCCGGCACAAATTAGACTTGCAGAGTCAGCACTGTTTTTAAAAAATTACTTATTTTTGAGAAAGCGCTATATAAATGTTATTATTATTTTTATATATGGTACTAATGTGATCGAGTATTATCAGCATATTTTAAACGGTGTTTTGACTCACAATGACGTTCTACATCAGCAATACCACCGTATGAGACCAGGCGTAGGCCTACTTAGAAAGACAACACTGCACAGATCACGAGTGTAGGCATCACCTAGTTTTCATTTAATAATATTAATAAATTAATAAATTTATTCTTATATAGCGCAAAATGCAAGAAACCTCTAAGCGCTTTACAATGAAAGGAAAAACCGGATCAAAATAAAAGAAAAAATGACAGGATACTAAATCAGTAGACCATGGAGCACGAATTACTTTTTCGTATACAGTTTAGAGCGCTTTTCAGGACAAAATTAACTGATATTTTTTTTTAATCTAAATCGTAGGATTTTATTATTTGGAAATGTGCGATTTATTTCAGCCGGCTGTAATGCGTAAAAAGCGCAGATTTTCAACTCAAAATCGGAGTGCCAAGCTTTGCTTAAATAAACGGAGTAATCCGCCGAAATTGGAGTACTGTAGTTGGCATGTCTGTATATCTTCCGACAGAATATATATATATATATATATATGTAATAGAGAAATATATATCACATAAGCTATATTATAAATAAATTGTAATGTACAATGATGTTAAGTACTCGCAATAAATATTTTTTCGTGTTGTTGAGGATGGAATCATGGACAACACTTGGAGATTCCATTATAGTGTGTAGCATGTAAATGTTCAGTTGGGTTGAACGTTGTACAAATGGCAGACTAGTAGCATTAATGTTCAGTTGGGTTAACACTTTTTGGTAGGTATTTTTCACTATTGCAGTGCAGGTCATTACATAAACTCATTTACAAAGCAAATGTTATTTAAAATTTGGAAAATAATTGCCCAAATATGGTTACATAACATTTTATCAAATTTGAGTACGAAAATGATTACTTGTTCTACCTATGTGTTTATTGATTTGTTAAGTGTTGATAAAATCTGCTAAGGCTATACATATACAAATTATCTGGCATTAAATCTATGTTATTTAGCATAAACATAATTTAAAAACCAGATAAAATTTTTATGCAAAATCTTCCACAATATTTTTGTTTTCAAGGTTTCTTAATCAAAACGCAAACCAATCCCAATATTCATTATGAAATTCATTTCATGATTATGTTATGTCAATAAATGTTCATAATACTGTTAAGAGTAATGTGCAAGTTACTTTACATTCAAGTACTAAAGAACACCACTTATACAATAACTACTGTAAAATATAGAAATTTAAATGAAATTAAATCAAATTGACAATTATAAACCACTATAACTTAAACCTATAATGATGTGACATTCAATTTTAAAATATAAAAATTTGAATAAACTACAAGGAAAGTGTATTAGCAAATTTGTTTTGAGAATACTCATCAAATGATGTCAAGCCATTATTTATAACAGTCCCACTTTCATTACCAAATCCAAAAGGGAGTAAAAAATTACTTTGATTATTATTGTGCAAAATTTGACCTAATCGAACCATGCATCTCCACTTTCTGGATTAAATAAGGACAAATTTTTTTCGCGGTCTAAAAAGGAATCATTAAATTACATATAGAAACACTTAAACACAAACCGCTTTGTAGCAGATTTGATGATTGCATTTTTTAATTGCTGATATGCATCCGTGATAAAATACCGACAATTTTTGCAAGTATAATGCAATAATTTACTAATATCAAAATAGTTTTGGAATAATCATGGAATTAGAAATAGGCCTAGGTAAATGGAATAGCAATTGATGTTTCCAACTGTTGTTATTTGCCCGCAAATAACACTGGAATGACAAAATAATATCAATATATATCAACAACAATAAATATACTACGAAATGATGTTTGCCCTACCTGACCTGTTATAAGTACTAAATGCTCAGTACATTCCAAAACACTTGTCTCGACTAGAACAAGCTAACCAGCACCCTTTTGGCTACCTATACTTGAATTAAAACAGTTAGTAGTTCTGGCCTGCTGAGAACGACATGGACTGAAAACCGTAGGCTATAGGAATATTGCTCACCGCTAGCTGCTTCACAGATTTAGGCCTTTAGGGTAGAATTGTTAAAAAGGTAGGCCTCTCTAAGTAAGAACTTAAAAATATGCCAAGCCTCTACTAGTCTAGGCTAGGCCTACTCCTGACTCCAGACGAGGCCTGAGCCATCCTCCTGGAAAGTTTTGTTGTATTTGTATGGTATGCCATCTAGTCTAAGCTTAATTGTTTTTGCCATTGCCAAAATTAGTCTTACTAGGGTCTATTCTAAATATTTTCAGCCCGTTTTATTAGAGGACTATTTAAATTTAGGCATGTCTAACTAGTCGACGCGAGTGACTCAGTTTCGTGGCTCCAAAAATATGAACATTTGATTGGATGAAATTGTTTATTTCGGTTCGCCCATTTATCCAAATACGGAATATAAGATTACGTCATTCTTTTGGCATCCTGGTGCCTGCATTCAGTGTTTTACAAGTCGCTTATTCCATCTATCTCTAAATTAACTTTCTCGTTGGTGGCGCTGTCCAGAATGAGAAAAATAATAAAAAATAAGAGACTTGTGGCAAGTCTATGTTCTAGTGTTTAAGACATCAGGCTATACCTGGAGGTCGTGGGTTCGATTCCCAATCGAATCACTTGCAAGATTTTTTTTCGCAAGTGTACGTCAGGTAGGGCAAACATCATTTCGTATTATTTCTCCTGATGCAAAAAGCCATCGGAATAGCATTGCAGTACTCGCTGCTACTTGGGGATCAGATTCATCAATAGCCACCAAGCACAAGCTCTGTGGCTTAGTGGTTAAGACATCAGAATAGTTACCTGGAGGTCGTGGGTTCAATTCCCACCCAAATCATTTGCGAGATTTTCTTCACAAGTACTTGGGAATGCACTGAGCATCCAGTACTTATAACAAGTCAGGCAGGGCAAACATCATTGGTGATTCGCATCTAGTGCGGATCACCTCTTGTTATTGTCAGAGATCTTCTTACTTCATCTTTTTTAAAATTTTACCTTTCCTTCCATTTTTGTGCGCATGATATCTCAAATTTGCCGTAAGTTACGCACATGCGCACTTCAACGAGCATTTGGCATGGCCAGGAATAGTCACAATAAGGTTTTCAATGTGCTCAGTCATGCGTGACGTCATCTACGCGCAATCTTGCGTTTTTACATTATCGATCACATCATCCTAACCTATTGTCATTTGTCATTCATATTTAGTAGGAATACCACGTACCGAAATATTTTACGTGCATCAAAATTTTTAAAATGCTCAAAAACACTTTTTAGCATGTACGGAAACAAGAAATTACGTATTTTTTATATATTTTGGGTTCCTGACATTGTTTCAACAAATTTCCATTATTTTAGGTCATCATATGGCCAATAGCAATGCTGTACATGTGCATCAAACATAGGGACCTTTGCTCACGTTTGTGCTGATATACCGTAAAAATATGCTAAAATCAGGCCTAATTTTAATCAGTTATAGCTGCTTTGGATGAAAGGTGACCCCCAATTTTTATTACATATTCTGAAAGTACATGAGTTGTTAATATAATTTATAGATAATAATGGCTGATCGGACATTGTGACGTCATCATATTGCCATCTGAATTCTATAAAACTGAAGTTTATCTGACATCATTTTTGAAAATACGCATTTGAGCTTATTTCGCTTATCCCTGATCGATCTTCTCCCAAGTTTGAGTATGTTATACCTGAGACAATTCTCTTTCATATATACAACTTCTTTCTACATTTTGATGACGTTATCATGGTCAAAATAAATGCTTTTGCTGACCCCCATCATCTTTCTTTCCTCAAAAATTAGATAACCCCATAATCATCTTAACCAATTATCATTTCTGAATTATATTTAGTAAGCATAAACTTCAGGTAAAGGTTGAATGTTATGTACCTTAATTTTTCGTGCGCGCGTCATAACGTGTGCGTGCGTCAAATTATATATATGCTTAAAATCATGAATATTTTTATTTAGTTATAGCTCCTTAGGATGAAAGGTGACCCCCAATCTTTATTACATATTCTGAAAGCACATGAGTAGATATGATTTTATAGATCATTATGGTTGATCGGACATTGTGACATCATCATATTGCCATAAAAATTCAAAAAACTAAATTTTTATATATGGTAAATATTATGAATGATAATAAGTCCCCCACCAACAGACGTTTGTCAATGAGAGTTGATACATATATCTCTTATCAGGAGTGAACATTTTGTGACATTACCATGCGCATGTGCATCACAACGTGCGCATGTGCGTCACAATGTGCGCATGAGTATATCTTTTAAAACGCTCCAAATTCTTTAAAAAAAAAAATGAATTAGCGTATACAATAGGCCGTTTTCAGCATTTAAAAATTGTTCAATCTGCACCGAGCACACTTCATCGAGGGTCAAAGTGCGGCGGATCACCTAACTCGTCCTCAGTGACGAGTTCAAATCTAGTTGCGTATTATTTCTAGACACCTTACCCAGAGAAACTGTAACCTATACTATTAGAAAATCAAAACATTATCTGCAAACAAGAACCAATAACCTTTCATGTGTTAAATGGATGTTCCAAAGCACTAAATGAAGGCCACTACACCTTCTCTAATAAAAGTAGTGCATAATACATAAAGCCCAATAATAATATTCAGTCTGTAACAGACAGATATACAGTTGCCCATCATTTATGTAAATAATTTTATGTAGTTTAGCAGATAATTTTATTTGAAATATATCTTTTGGTAAATAAAGAAGCTTGAATTTTGTGGGGCATTTATATTCGATGCCCAGGATGAAAAATTCTACAGTATGTTCAATATGTGTTCCATAAAGAAAACCTTGAGAATTTGTTGATTTACCTTTTTAAATGCAACTCATTCTATAAAACATAATTTCCTGAGATGGGTATTCACCATTTAAGCAAATAACCTATTATTCCAGATTGTCAAATAATAATCAAATGGATGAGAAATTTATAAATTAATGCTTTTAACAAGTCATATAAATATTATAACCACCAGCCCCAATTCACAATAATCATAGTACTACATACACAGTACACAATGACTATAACAATTTTATAAGCAGAATTTATGTAATTACTCTTCATACCAGAAAATAAACCCAAAATATTAGAAACAAATGCAAAACTGCTAAATTAAGAATAACAGGTGTAAAAAATGATTGTCTGATTCCCTTGTAATCCCTTCAACAACTTCAATGACCCTTCTGTTAATCTTGCATTGTAGGACATACTGCCACAGTGTAAGAGACAATTCTGGGACATCATCATGAATTGCTACTGAGTTCTTCGGTAATTGGAGATCTTGGCAAAGGCTTAAGAATGTGACTGTCTGAGTTGATGTTGCTATCTTCTTTACAACTGCAAAATGGAAATGTGCCACAACAAGGCTGCTGCCATGGAATTGGAACAAGTCTTAAAGGATGAAATTGGTTTGGGACAGGAGTCAATGATCTCTTGTGCTCATCAACTGCTGCTAATGACTTCTGAATTATCTCTTTGATTTCAGGATCATTTGAATCTAGAGGGTTATCCTCAGTTAGATCAGTAGTTATGTCAAACACAAGAGGAGGGTTGTGGAATTCTACTGAAGAACCATAACATTGGCATACATAGGTCTTCCAGCATCCTCTCTCTCCCAGTTCATTTACATTTAATTTTGTTGTTGTCATCATAACTTTATAGATCTTGTTACCTACAATGGAGAAAACATTACACTATTATTTTTTTTCTTTTTTGCTTAAATTTGATATAAATCATGTACAATTTTTTTATTTTATCATAATACACTTGAAAGAATTTCATCTAATCTTTAGTTGAATTAATATACTTTAATTGGTTCATGTAAATTTCAAAAAATGTTAATCTATATTTTAAAGAACCAATTACAGTACATATTACACTTGTTTTGGGCAAAAATTGAAAATTTTTGAGAATGTTAAATTTTGTAGCTTTTGTTTTGTTTTAAAAAGTATTTATTTTCTTGAAGCACCTGAAGACATTGAAGTACCCAATATTATCAGCATGTTTCTAGTAGGTATGCACATAATCATAATAATTAACAACTTGACAATTTGTAAAGCATTTGTGATATTACAGTGCTTTTTACAGTGCAGTGCTATTACAGCTTTTATCAGCTATGGAAAGTATGTACTACCATCATTGAAAATAGACAAATAAACATAAAACGCAATTCATTTTCCATACCTGTTTTTGGTATGTAGCGAACACCATGCAAATATCCGCCACAATAATGAAACATGAATTCATGTGGTGATGATTTATTCTGCTCGTTTAGCAATGGTAGCAAATCTTTTCCATCAATGACCCGATCTGAAGGTAGTGGGGTATCTAGTATTGATGCAATTGTAGGGTACATATCAAACACATGCGTCGGTTGTGATATGATGCTGTTGCTGCGTACTACACCAGGATAACGTACAATAGTTGGAACTCGCATACCTCCTTCCCAGGTGTTGGCCTTACCACCTAAAATGTAACAAAAATAAAAGCTACAGTAAGACTAGGGTTTGTGCAGTGGCCGTGCCGGCGGGGGATAGGGGCGCCAGCCGGGTTTAAACCCCCACCAAACAGGTCAAGCCCCCTCCCCCCATCAGATAGAGCTTGTCGGGCAGTCTGACTGAAAATATATATAAAAATAGGCCAACGCCAAGTCAACACATGCCTGTCACAATCAGAGAATGTCATTTCTGGCCATCCAATGGTTCCTATTCTTTAAAAAAATCTCATTTGGGAGGTGAACACCCTCTCAAACCCTTCCATCACCTTGGGCCGACAAACCGAAGACCCCCTGTCAGACAGCTTAGCCCCCAGCCCCCCTGCAATACTGCAAGTTTGATGTAACAGTCTAGGACCTGAAGATCTGTATGCACTTAATTTAGGAGAGAATATCTCAACTGTTACAGACCAAAATGAGCCCTAGGAACAACATGGGATGTGTGCAAAAATCTCTATCGGGGAAAAACAGCCAGAGAATGACCACACCCATTTTTAAATGGCCACGCCCACTTTTTAATTGGAAATAAAATAAACAGTAGGCTAGATATTATGAACATATGGAAAGACAAAGGTTTTTCTTTTATAAAATAACACATGATGAGGGGATCAAATTTCAGAATTCTCAGCTTAATCAGTTTATTATTAGTTTACATATGCCAAATAGGGGCTATACCCCTTTTTTAAGTGCTACTTTAAATAGTAGACTAGACAATCTGAACATATTGCAAACAAGGGTTTTTCTTTTATTAATGAATACATATGATGAGGGGATATCACTCCAGAAACCACACTGTGGTCACATGTTCTGTTCATATACAAATTAGCTTAAATATGCAAAAAATACAGGGGTACACCCCTTTTTCATTGGAAGTACTGTAGTACTTTAAACAGTAGGCTAGACATTAAGAACATACTGAAAAAAGGGATCTCCTTTTATAAAGAACACGATGATTAGGAGATAAAATTTCAGAAATCTCACAAGTTCCGTTCATATGGAAATGAGCTTAAATATGCAAAATAGGGACCACGCCCCTTTTTTACAGGAAGTGCTACTTTAAATAGTAGGCTAGACAATCTGAACATATTGCGAAGAAGGGTTTTTCTCTTATAAATGAACACATATGATGAGGGGGATGACATTTCAGAAATCAGACAGTGGTCACATGTCTGGTTGATATGCAAATTATAGGTAGCTTGAATATGCAAAAAATATAGGGCTGAGCCCCTTTTTCATTGCAAGTGCTACTTTAAACAGTAGGCTACACATTATGAACATATTGATAAGAAGAATTTTCTTTTATAAATACACACATATTATGAAGGAACAATTTTCATAAGCCACACCTTAGTTACAAGTCAGGCTGTTCATATGCAAATTAGCTTAAATATACAAATAAAATACGAGTCATGCCCCCCTTTTTAACTGGAAGTGCTATTTTAGACAATACGTTAGACAATCTGAACATATTGCAAGGGGTTTTCTTGTATAAACGAACACATATGATGAGGGGATAACATATCAGAAATCACACTGTGATTACATTACATACATTAGCACACGGAGTGGGTGGAATAGAAACGGGTCCGATAGTTGAGCGCTTTCTTCTTCTACAGATTTTACATCTTTTAACTCTTTTAATGTAGTTATGTAGTTATGTGTGAACAACTCAACTGTAAAGCTGAGAAAGTGATGAAATATAGATTAACTACCGACCAGGCCAACTATAAATCAATGAACAGCGCGTAACAATACTGTTAATAATGAACAAACTACACAATAGCATGCCCTAATAGAGTCCAGCATAAAGCTAGTCTCAACAAATATGGATATGGATTTGACAGGGCTTCAAATAAAAAAGGGGCATAGCCCAAGGCTATCTTTTTTGCATATTCAAGCTAATTTGCATATGAACAGGACAGTTGACTGCAGTGTGATTTCTGATCATATGTGTTCATTTATATATATAAAAAAACCCATTGTTTGCAATATGTTCTGATTGTCTTGTCTACTGTTTAAAATACACTTTCTGTAAAAAAGAAAGAGGCATGGCCCCTATTTTTTGTATATTTAAGCTAATTTGTATATAAATGGAACTTGTGATTAAGGTGTAATTTATGAAAATTGATCCCCTCATCATATGTGTTCATTTATAAAAGAAAATCCTTGTTTTCAATTAGGTTCATAATGTCTAGTCTACTGTTTAAAGTAGCGTTTCCGATGAAAAAAAGGGGCATGGCCATTTAAAAATGGGTGTGGTCATTTTTGGGCTGTTCATCCCGGATAGAGATTTTGGCACACATCCCACTGCTGTTCCTAGGGCTCATATGATAAATTATTGTTGTACAAGTGCACTACAATAATATTTTGAGGTCCTAAGATTTAAATACTAACAGGCTACTAATTTGTTTTAAAATTCACAAATTCTCATTCAAAACTAGATTTCTTATCTTCAAAAATACAATTGTGCATTAAAATTTCAGTAAATTCAAGCCTTTTAACCAATGCTGACAACAAATAAATGAAAATGGTCGTAAAAAGTTTAAAACTGGTATGACGTAAGGCAAACAAATCTTGGGCTTTGAAAACATGGTGTAAAGTTCACTGTTCTATCACCTTGCCAACCAACTGTTACAAGCTTCTTTTTTAACTTATTCATGAAAGTATTATTTAAAATTGTGCATACAGTACTTCAGTTAGATTTAAGTATTGTTCTGAAGGATAACAAGTAGTTTTTAATTCCTATTATTTTTTTGTTTGTTTCAACTTTGTTACGAGCACAGGTGTATGCAAATTTACTTTCTTTATTATGTAAATTGACCAAGGCAATGTAAGCTACCTCCATGGTGTAAACAATAGTGGTTTAGCCTGAAACATGAAGACAGGTAGTTGATAAGCCTGCAATGAAGCAGGTAGTTTTTAGCCTGCAAGAAATCAGGGAGAGTTTTGCCTGTAATAAAGCAATTGCATATTAGCCTGAAATCGAGCAGTTGCCTGTTGTTAGCCTCCAAGAAGGCAGTTCATTGTTAGCCTGCAATAAAGCACAGTTGATGTTAGCCTGCAAGAAAGTAGTTTGTTGTTAGCCTGCAAGAAGGCAGTTCATTGTTTAGTCTGTAGTAAAGCATGGTTGATGTAAGCCTGCAAGAAAGCAAGGTTGCTGTTAGCCTGCAAGAAAGCAGTTCGTTGTTTGGCGCGATCTCCAAATTATCCCACACGGCAAAAACACGTCTAGGTCAACACCCTATCACGAACGCGTCTGAGAAATCAACCATTCTAATTACCACGCTATATGGATATTCATTTGCTACACGTTTGAATTACGGCTCGCGTCTGGACGACGGCGAATCGTTTGGACGCTTGTTGATCGTTTGAACAATTTTCAATTGTTTACTACTGCTGTACTACCAGAGCGGTCAACTGGCCCACTTGAATGTGTAGAAATACTGGCATTTCAAATAAATGTTCCATAAATAAATAAATAATAAATGTTGCAGCTCCTATTCTTTCTTATGTGGCTATTGTGATAAGTTGTTATACAGAGCAGAACATTATACAACAGACTATATTATATTTCAGTATGGTCTTACTCGCCATCTTTATTTTTCTGCCTCTCTCGACCCAGAGGGCTCACTCTCCAGATTGCATACTACAATCAACACATCTTCCTTCCTATAAGGATGAACACAATTCCTACGAAACATTTATTTGTTTTTCTAATTAAACTGATAACATAAATACTCAATTTTTTAACAAATTCGATCAAAAACACCAAATGGATTGTTCTGCAAGATAATAACAAAAAAAGAACAATGATAATAACAACAAAATACCTGGTCCTTACTTAAAACATGCCATGTCATTCATTCACTGTAAGAGTGATCTATGTAGTGTAATCATTGTTAAAGTATTTACGATTTGGCTTCCAGTCGCGTTCGCTATGTCGTGGGACATTTCTATCTTCTGCATGAGTATTATCTGTATCTCCATCATTATCACAATTATTATTTAACATTGGCTTGTAAATGGACTTCTTCATCTTCCGATTCTGGTAAATGGACTGAAGCATGTGAGCTGCTCTTCCTTGCTATGAATGCTTTCGTGTCGAGTTGCTGGAACTTGGAAGTTTAACAAATTATCTGCCATTGGCAAGTTCGTTTTCATCCTCCTGTTGTAGAGTAGCTCTGCTGGAGATTTTCCACATTCAAGAGGGGTGCTACGGTATATTTGCAGGGCCTTCCTGGTATCCTGATTGCTGTGAACTTCTTTTTTAATCAATTTTTTTACTTTACTGCTCCTTTAGCCAGTCCACTGGATTGGGGGGTAGTGAAGACTCGAAGTCGTATGAACAAAGTCCCAATCAGCTGCAAAGTGCCTAAATTCAGCACTGTTAAATTGAGGCCTGTTGTCTGTCATCAATTCAATAGGTGTTCCCTGTCTTGCAAACACAGACTTTATCTTTACTTATCACTGCTACACTAGCTGTGCTGTGCAGCATGCAAACCTCTATAAATTGTGAAAAGTAATCTACAATGACTACATATTCCCTGCAATTAACTGTACAAAGGTCTGCCCCAAGTTTCTCCCATGGACAATTTAGACTAGAAAAAATGAGTTAGGGGGAGTGGAATGTTAGAAGCAATCCACATAGCCAGACATCTTAATTAATCCGTCCTGGTCACCCAAAGCCCTGTTGACACTTGATTTAACTCCTTGTATAAAAATGGCGTCAATTTTTTTTCCTGCCCAGTTGCATAATGTTCGTGAGCTCTCGGGGTGGAAGGGTGGGGGTGGGTTCTCTTACTGCTAACTAGCATTTTACTATCGAGCCTTAATCGTGCATAATGCATGTGCATATGGGGGCCAAGTCCTAGTTCAAATGGGTCCTTGAGAGGCCACGGTGGCCGAGCCCTTCTTACTACTGTACTACCCATCACTCTACTAAAACGCCTTGACAATACGGTAACTTTTTCAA